CAAGTTCATTTCAGGAATGCTTGTGTTTGAAAGGGGGAAGGGGAGCATAGCCGCATAGGGAAGAAGGAATGTTGGGTGTGAGGGCAGAACTTTTTGTATAAAACAGATAATCATAAAATAAAATGAAATACTAAATCTAATTCTTTCACCCAAAAAAATCTGAAGTCTAAACAAAAGTCAGGAGTGTTGTAACAGGTTTGTCAACACTCAAAAGCATGCCTTACTCCAAGAAAGAAATGTCATATTGTCATGGCAATCGTTTAAGTAGTAAGACATCCCTAGATCAATATTTGAACTACCACAGAATGCTTCAGTGACTTTTATTCTCATATTATGGAGGTTTCCACATTAAAATTTGTTAGGAACAAATAAATCTTCTTTTCTTTTACGCACAATAATAATGATGAGAAACATATTAAAATAACACCATAAAAAAAAAAAAAAAGATCACCAAACTAATAAATGATTTAATTCTCTACTACCAAAAACGCATAAAGAAGTTAAAAATTTAACACACCCCAATTCCATTAAAATACTTGAATTTAGAAAACAACTTTTGGTTCATAATTTAGAAACCAAACAATATATTGGAATTAAAACCAATATTAGATAATTTTTTTGTTCAACATAACTAATTTAGCAAATATCCTTTTTCAATAGTACCAAACAAAAATTAAGAACTTCAGTTATTCAATCTAACAAGAAAAAAAAAAAAACTACAATAGTGAAGCTTAATGGTTGGACAATTCACAGTGATATTGGGATGATTTAGTGAGAGAGTGGAATAATAGTGGTGTGCAAATGGCTATGATAGACCTAGATGTTGCGACTGCATGCAACTTCAGATGACGATGTCACAATTGCACTCGTGGTGGAGGTTGAAGTCGCACTCACAATTCGACTTATCAAATTTGTCAAGCCCACCCTCCAAAGTCCAGCTCACGTGGGCCAAGGCAAAAAAGGCCCAATGGGTCAAAAACCCCACTTAAAAAAGGCCCACAAGGCCAAAAAGCCCACAATGCCTTATGGGCTAGGGCCAATCCATAGGCCAATTTGTTTTATAATAATAAATTCAAATATTAAAAAATTATCATAATCTATTATGTAAACTACCTTACTCGATGCACTAATTTAGACTATTCTATTTCTATGGACTAACTTCCAATTTTTAATTTAATTTAAAATTTTGAAATTATATTATATTTAGTTTAAAATTTTATGTATAAATTTAATGCCAAAAACCTACAAATAACATTTTATATTTATTAAATATAATTTTTTAATAATTATATTATTATTATTATGATGCTATATTTATTTAATATAATTTTTAATAATGATGATGATAATAATACTAATTATTATTATTATATTAATATTGATTTGATTATGGTTAAACTACAATTGAACTATTGAATCTTAAATTAGTCTCTAGACCAGTCTAATAATTGGCATAGTTTTAAAAATATTATAAAAGAGTGATATAAATCCATATTTGAAAAATTATGTAACACCATACATAATTTATAAAATTTTACGCATAGAATTAAATTATTACATAAAATAAGTAAATAAATAAAATAAGTTAATAAATTCTCTTGTTATTTCTCGTTAAAAAATAAAAAAATAATTCTAACTTTAAAATGGACATATTTCATATATATTGTATTGAGCATGTAGAATAATACTTTTTTTAATAAGGTAAGTGGAGGGTCAAGCTCCCTTTGTTTCTAACCCTAGTTCTCTTGTTATTTCTCGTTAAAAAAAATTCTAACTTTAAAATGGACATATTTCATATATTGCATTGAGCATGTAGAACAATACTTTTTTTAATAAGGTAAGTGGAGGGTCAAGTCCCCTTTGTTCCTAACCCTAGTCCTTTTTTATGAAGCTCTACTCAAGGTGAGGGCCGGTCAAAGTCGCACTCGCGATAAGGCTTATATTCACACTCATGATGAAGCTCAAAGTCGCAGTTGTGCAAGCCACATATTCATTATGGTGTTGTCATGTGGTCTTAATGTCAAGGTGGAGTTGTGCAAACAATGAAGCTTAAACTCACATAGAGGCAAAGAGAGACATCATACAATCATGAATCAATTGTGAAGGGAATATGATTAGATTTAGGATTTCTCTATATTATTAGAAACTTGTAAAATTAATCTTAAAATTAAAAATATAACTAGTTTTCATAATATAATATATATATTATTTATTTCATTATATTAATATATAATAAGTGCAGGACAGGATGAGTATTATAGTACTCAGACGACCTCTACCTATACCCACACAATTTTGTGGGTCTATACTTCTTTTATCTAGACCCAAAATTATGGTTAGATACTTGCTTTGCTTGTGAGTATTTTGCAAGTACCTTTACAATCCATGGAACTAAGGATCCATGTCATAACTTTAGCATCTTTGACTTCCCATTTGGCATAATCAACATTATCTTAGTCTTTGTTAGTAAAAGGAGTGTTGCCATCAACATGACTCCAATTTTTTTTCCTTTGACAAATATCTGAAGTTGGAATGTACAACCTTAGTAGTTTTTGCGATTAAAGAGAACCAATAAGACATCATACTTTTTGGAAAACATAAATAAAGAAAAACAATCAAAGAAAAACAAGATGTTAATTTAGACTAAGAAACAAATAACCAAGAAGAACATAAAGATAAGATCATGAAACTTGAATGGGGTGAAAAATAAAAGGAAAAAATATTGCAAACCAAGTGTTGGAATCATAACCGAGGCTGAAATCATGTCAACTCAAAGAGGATTAGGCAAAACTTATGTGTTCTCCTCCTTAAGCATTTTCATTTAAGTAAAAAATAATTATAAGTTGTTAACTTGATTTTCTTTTCACTAAATTAGCTAAAGTGCCATATTTATATTACTATTCTAATTAAGAGAATAATAATTACAAATAAATATATAATCACATAGAATTTTTTTTTGGCATTAATTTTGTTGATAGAGATATGTTGGATTTTGGGCTCTTTCTTTTGTGGAGAAAGGCCCAAATGTACATGTCCATATATTCTCCCTTATCCAAGGAGAGAAAAGGCAAATCAAGGAAAGGGAGACTCATTATACTAGGTGAGAACATCTATTGGAGAGGAAAAAAAAGTAATCCCACATTTCACCAAAGAGGTGCCAAAGTGAGTTGGAACATGATGAGTCGACTTGTCCCACCACGGGTTTGAATCGAGTCAAACTGGAAAAACTCAAATCATTATGGTTTTAGCCCAACAACAACCTAGCTCACTTGACTTGTGAGCCAAACTGGCTAAAGTCAAATTGACCTATTTAACTCATTAAAAAAGACTTAAATCATTAAATGACTTTATACTTAAATATTGAAGTGTTATAATTTTTTTATATTTTTTATTTTTAAGAATTTGTATGCCAACCCACAAACCTAGGTATTCGAGTTGAGTTGAATTTTTCTTGACTTAACAAAAAGTGAACTAAGTTAGACCATTTTAAATGTAACTCGGGTGAGCTAAATTGGTTCACTTTGATACCTCTATTTGTCTCACTTTGAATGACCAGATAGCCACTATCCAATAGTGATTAATGTTTTTTTCACCATTAAATTAGGTTGTCTTCTAAACAAGCTCAACAAACTTGATTCTTGGTTTTCAACTGTCAAATAAGTGAAAAAAGGTTGAGTTTGAGAAATATTCCTCATTGTAGTAGCTCTATTTTGGGTTGATTTTTTTTATTATCTTATTTCTCATTTATAAGCATTGATGGTTTGTTTGGTTTATTGTAATCACTATTTTGTATAGTTGTTAAAGAATCTCTTATAGCCTTAATAATCTTAGTAAGCTTATTGCTTTCATTTGGATGACTTGTGACTTTTATTCTCATATTATGGAGGTTTCCACATTAAAATTTGTTAGGAACAAATAAATCTTCTTTTCTTTTACGCACAATAATAATGATGAGAAACATATTAAAATAACACCATAAAAAAAAAAAAAATATCACACGAATTTATTTAACGTGGTTCAGCCCTTCATGCCTACGTCTATAAGGATGTTTATTTTATGGGTAAAACTTGAAAATCCCTCCCTCACAAGTTTTCTGGTGAAACTCGAAAACCTCATTCACAAGTTTTTTGGCGAAACTTGGAAACCCTCCTTCATATAACCTCCTCTCTCATTTAAGGCGATGACCCCCTTTACAGGTCGGGTGATTCTTCTCATCTCAATAGTCTCTATTAATTGACCTCACATCATAATCTTAAAAGGAGAAAAAATCTCTAAAATAAATACAATATATTTCAATTCCAAAAAAAATCCTACAGAAATAATATATATATATATATATATATATATATATATATATATAAAACTAATCTCAATTGTTCCAAAATATACTTTCACGAAGTTTAAATTCTTAAAATTTACTCTATAACACTAAAATACATTTTCAGTGTCCATAAATACAATTATAATTTGGTCTTAATTTTCTAAGTTTTATTAGTTTTATCTTCATGAATTTTAAAACTTTTGATATAAAATATTATAATCATTGTTAATTTTTTTTTTTTTTTTTTGTTTTTGGTTTAAAATTTGCTAGACGTTTCCGCAACACACTACACAGATATGACTCGAATCAAGAGTATGGGTGCAGTAAAGTAACACAACAGGGAGAAACAGAAGAAAAAAAGAGAGTAAGGAATTAAAACCTGCAGTTTCAGTTGCATGAGATCCAGGTGCTACTCTGATATCCACCTAACCAGAATTAATTATTAAACATAAATAATATAGGGTTCAAAAATAGGTAGAATATTTGGTTTAATTAGTAAATACTATAAATACTATTCCAGTATTCCCTACTTACACACAGGAAGAGAAACATGAAAGTATAGATCACGCTTTATAAACACCATAGTTTGACAATATATACTATCGTACAATTAGGTAACAATACAAAGATAAACACCATAGTTAAGATGCCAAATAGTATTGCAGGTGTAAGAGATATCATGAGTGGAACAGCTATACCAATGACAGGAGCTAGCATGTCCTCCTCTATAAATCTTATGAAGTCAGTTCAACTTATTTTAAGAAGGCATTAGCATAACAAAGGATGTCATGAATAGGCATGACATCGGTCCAAAGTCCAAACTAGGAGCAGGTTTCGTCCTCCCCAAACCCATCAAGAAAAAGTGAATTTGGAGAAAAAAATAAATACAACCCCGTTACCACCAGGTTTGGAGAATTATGTGGAGACTTTGTCCCATTCTATTTTATTTCTTAATTCAATTCACTTATATATTTTTTAAATAAATGTATGAAGTACATTTTAATTCAAATATATAAATAAAGGCATCAAGAATCTAATAAAAATCATAAACTTTTGAAGTAAGAATTAAATCATATCTTCAACAAAATGTGTGATTACTGATTTTAACTTTATTATTGCAATATTATTGCAATGATCTAAATTACTTTACTATTTTCAATGATTATGAGAAATGTGAGTGGAAATAAAATCATAACTCTACTTCTCACAATATGTGGGACTGAAGGCAGATGGGTATTTATAGCCCCAAACCCTTCCCTGCCTTTACAAATTGAGAAAATCCTAACCCAATTAACATGGATTTTTTCATCAAAATCGGGTTGGATTCAGGCATGTACCCACAGGTTCTGATTCAATTACTATATCTAGTTATGAGTCAACAAAAGCATTGTGACAGACTAGTCAAACCCTGAACCCTAAATATATTTCATGGATCAAGCCTAGGTTCCAGAATTCTTAGCAAGAACTCTCTAAAGCTTGTTCTATTAGATGTTTCGCACCTTCCAATTTCAGTTCATGGGTTATTTTAAGGGTCTACAATCTATCTGGTATGCAAAGGTGATACTCTGAATAGAGTTTTCTTGATTCTGCTTTAGGAGGATTTCTGATCCTCCCACATCATTTCCATCTACTATTGACTTCTAAAGAACAAGGGAAACAACAATTTTATACTAATGAAAAAAATGAGTGCTGCCTCTACTACACTATGTGTCCCACACTTAGTATTGATTATTTGGTAAGAAGCCAGAAATCATTCAAGCAAGAATAAGGGATTCAGAAATACTAATGAAAAAAAGGAGTGCTGCCTCTACTACACTATGTGTCCCACACTTAGTATTGATTATTTGGTAAGAAGCCAGAAATCATTCAAGCAAGAATAAGGGATTCAGAATTGTTGCATGTTGTTCAATATTGAAGTCACAATTCACATTCACTACCACAGTTTTTGCAACACATCATAAATCATCATTGCAATTAAGCAATTCATTACTATTTAATCCCCCTCTCTAGTTAGTATTAACAATCTATAAGTTAAACAAGTACTTTTGCCTAAACCAATTATCTACTCAACTGTGTGCCCATTGGCACTTAGTATGAACACATTAAATACTAAGTTGCCTCAAATAACTTAAGAGGGGCGGGGTGAATTAAGTTATCTCTACTTTTTAAAATTTCAGAACTACTTTCTTATAAATTCAATTTCCTTGATAAAATCTATATGTTGAAAATGAAAAATCTCACTTCTTAAACAAAATTAAAAACAAATAATTAAAAGAGCAAGGAAAAGGAATTGCAAACTCGTTTTTATACTGGTTTGGCCAATCCTGCCTATGTCCAATCCTCAAGTCTCCAACTTGAGATTTCACTATACTTGTAATCTTTACAAGACTTGAATCCTCCAACACCTTAGAATTTCCTTTCCTTGTGTTGAGATTCAAAACCACCCAGGAAAAACACTTTCTCCTTTTACAAATTGAATGATAGAATAGGTATTTCAGAAGAACTCTCTTGAAGAGTAGATTTTCCAGTATGATGAATCTTGTAGAACTCTTAAAGAATTAAATCTTTTGAAAAGAAAGTAAACGAGTGTTCAAAAGAATTAACGAAAAGATTTTTTAAGGAATAGATTTAAAACTATATATTTAAACATGAAAATGAAGTTTTCTATATCAAAAGTTTTTGAAGCAAAAGTAATAATATTGGTCTGGTAATCGATTACCGTAGAAGAGGGAAACTTCAAAATTAAAATTCCATGATACAACATTTGAATTATTTCAAAATTATAACTGTTGCAATCGATTACCGGTTGCTGTAATCGATTACCAGAAGAGGGAACTTCAAAATTCAAATTCCAAGATACAACGTTTGAGTTATTTCAAAATTATAACCCTTGTAATCAATTACCAAACCCTTGTAATTGATTACCGGTACATCTTTTGAGAAGAATTCAAAGAGTTACACCTTTTCATGAAAAGATATAACCATGGGATTCTTATTTATAAATATGTATAATTTTTCTTTAAAGGGTTACGAACTCAAAGTGTGAAAAATTATTACAAAAACTTCTTGGCCAGAATTACTTGCAAATTCTTTAAGAGTTCTACAAGGTTCATCATACTGTAAAATCTACTCTTCAAGAAAGTGTTTCTCCTGGGTGGTTTTGAATCTCAACACAAGGAAAGGAAATTCTAAGGTGTTGGAGGATTCAAGTCTTGTAAAAATTACAAGTATAATGAAACCTTAAGTTGGAGACTTGAGGATTGGACGTAGGCAGGATTGGCCGAGCCGAGCCAGTATAAAAATGAGTTTGCAATTCCTTCTCCTAGCTCTTTTAATTATTTGTTTTTAATTGTGTTTAAGAAGTGAGATTTTTCATTTTCAACATATAGATTTTATCAAGGAAATTGAATTTATAAGAAAGTAGTTTTGAAATTTAAAAAAGTAGAGATTACTTAGATAACTTAATTCACCCCCCCTTCTTAAGTTATTTGAGGCAACTTGTCTAACAAAATACACACATTAAATACACCATATGAATTGTTTTAAACTACTTTAAAAAACTAGTAAAAGAGTTTAGTATCTTTTTATATAAATAAATAATTTCTTCTTTGTTAAGTAATTTTTAATTTGAAGTTTTTACCATGTGCCCATGGGCACACACAACAGAAAGTCCCTTCCATTAATCATATAAGAAAATAAACCATCAATACAATTTTGCCTCTCCAACTCCTCGTATCTATTACCAAAGCAATGAACTCAGAAAAATGAAGAATACCTTGTATCGCGAAGGCAAGCTTCTCATGAGTTTTACACGTAAGCATAGACCTATAATTGTCGCCATACTGCAATGTTCCACTGTAGGAGTAAATGTAACCCTGAAGAAAAACCCAGTCACCATCCAATAAAACAAGGAAATTAAACATTCCATAATCCACATAAAGTGTGTATGGAAAAAATCTAGAAACTCAATAAATGAAAATAATAATAAATTAATAACAGTAATAATAATTATAATCACAAATACCTAACATAATTCTGCTGATCATCAACTTCAACTGCTTCCTCTGTGATCACCTTAAGCTCTTCCAAGGAGTATGGGTGCTCAGGGTCCTTTATATCTCTTATATGATTTGAGAATGTTAAGAAAATATTCAAGTTACAATTATCAACTTTTATTTAATTTTCTGAGTAATTATTGGAAAAAAATGAAATTTGAAGTCTAAAAAAAGGATATCAAAAATCTCTTGTTGGTCAATTGGTTCCACAGCATACTCATCATGGGGAGCAGAAGGAGCAGTTCGAGCTCGTCGCTCTTTCTTTTCGTATATGACAGGGTTCGCATTGATTAACCCAGATACCATTTTGGCCAAGATTGCAACTTGCTCGGTAGAGGCAACAAGAGAAGGAGGATTCCAGTATTCAACCAGAATTTATCAGTTGATTATTACAAAACTGACCCAAATATGATAGCTGGAGCCTAGTAGGAAGGAACCTTAGTTCTGAATAAGACTTTTCTATGCTGCATTCAGAAAAAAAACTTATAAAATTTACCATGATAATTAAAAATAAAAGGTTAAATACCTCTTTTGGTCCCTTACAATATTTTTTTGTTTCAATTTAATCTCACTTTAATTTTAGGTCTCAATTTGGTCTCCAATAAATTAAATCATTGCAATTTGGAACTTCCGTCTAAATGATTTAAACGGAGTTAACTGATGGCCACGTGGATGCCAGGTAGATGCCACGTAGATGCCACGTAAGTGAATCCCAAAATACTGGAATACACCTGGAACCAGAACGGCCTGTTCTAAAACAAGAACGGCCCGTTCTGGTTACACTATTGGTGTGTAAATTTTGTACCTGGAACGGGCCGTTCCAGGTGCAAAATTAACACACTAACAGTGTAACTAGAACGGGCCGTTCTGGTTTCAGAACGCCCGTTCTGGTTCCAAAATTTAATCTTTAATTTTTATTATTTTTTTTTATTTTATTTTTGCTAATCCAATAAAAAAAAATTCAATAAAATCCAAGTTATCGAAAATAAAAATTATCACGAGAGAATATTTACTTAAGTACAAAGCATTTCAAACACTAGATTTGGTAATATTATTAAAGGGGATTGATAATTTCAATTGCAAAACATTTGGACTATACAGTGTATCATTAAGGACAATGTAGTGTATCACTAAGGACAGTGGTAACAAGTTTTATTTCATTGTTAGTCAAACTGGAGTGAACCACTTACTACTAAATTGACACTATACAGTCAAGGATGAAACGAAATGGTGTTTTCCCTTGAAGTCATTGACGATGTACCCCAACAATAACAACCTGTTCTTGAGGAGGTACAACCTGAATTTTTGTGATTTAGGGTTTTCCTTCAGCGTTATCCAGATGATTTCCTTTCTCAATAATTTCTTTAAACTTTTTTAGTATATGTTATGTTCTGAATTTTTGTTTTCAGTTTCTAAACCATGTTTCTGTCTTTGAATTTATGATATATTATGAATTTTTATTTTCAATTTTTGAATCACATTGCGACATTTTAGTCAAGATTTTGAACTGGATAAGTTCAAATCAAAAAAGGATTTTAGAAGATCTTATCTTATTTGATTTTTTTTTATAGTTTTATTCATAAATGAATATTAATTTATTGTATTTTTTATTTATTATATTTTTATTAATATAGATATAATAAAAAAATACAATTAAAAATATGAATTTGGCGTTCTGGAACGGGCCGTTCTGAATTCAGAACGGGCCGTTCTTCTGCACTCATGTTGTGTTAAATTTGCATTTGGAATTGCGCGTTCCGATTGCAAAATTAACACACCAAGAGTGCATCCAGAACGGGCCGTTCTGAAACCAGAACGGGTTCCAGGTGTATTCATGCAATTTGACGTCCACATACACATCCACATGGCATCCACGTGGCCAACAGTTAACCCCGTTTAAATCATTTGGACGAAAGTCCCAAATTGCAATGATTTTAATTATTGGGGACCAAATTGAAACCAAAAATTAAAGTGGGACTAAATTGAAACAAAAAAATATTATAAGGGATGAAAAGAGGTATTTAACCAAAATAAAAATATGATTAAATGTACATCAAATTATTTTATCTGTATACATCAAATTACTTCCCAACATTCACGCAAAAACAATATTTATTGACCTCAAAAACTGCTCAGAAAAGGAAAATGGCACCTTGAAACTGAACATTGCACGCAAATAATACAGTGCACCGTGCACCCCCGGCCCCCACACACACTCCCTCCTTGACATATGGTATAATCCAACTAGTCCTTATTATTCACTAAGTGCCATCAAAACAAAACCCATAAACTCCCTTCTTGACATCTATAACTATTAATAAAGGGAATATATTTTTAAATAACCACTTTCGTCTCCATTTTTTTTAAGAATTTTTTGTCATTAGATTATGCAATAACTCCTTATAGATAAAAGATAAAATGGAGAAAATATATATATAAAAAAAAAATTGTAACCGTAACTATTAAAGGCACGAAGTGTCTCGACTTCTCTAGTCTATACTAATATATAAAGGGAATATCCCTTTTAGTAACCATCTTGATTTTCACATTTTATTGACTATTATACCTTTTTTCATTTTTTAAAATTAAAAAAAATAATATTTTTTTTATCAAATTCAAAATCTTGAAATTAATGAATTAATCATAATACCAGTTAAATCATTATATTTTTATTACTTAATTTTTATTTTTAATTGAGACACGGAGTGCCTCGACCCACTAGTCTATTATAAAGGGAATATATTTTGATAATCATCCTTTTGGTCTCCATTTTTTAATCTATTATAAAGGGGATATATTTTGATAATCATCCTTTTGGTCTCCATTTTTAATAGACCATTATACCCCTTAAATATAAAAATAAAAAAAAAACTTCTTATATCATTTTTAAATAACTATCCGTAACTTCTAATATTTGTTTATGTATAACTATTAGAGACATGAAATGTCTCAATCCCTCTAGTATGGAATAATCCAATTAGTCCTTATTATTCACTAAATGCCATCTAAACAAAACCCATTAGTTGCTACTTGTCATTCAAATAAAATAACTCTTTCCTTACCGACTCATCCCCAATAGAACTCTTTACCCGCATTAGCATGCCTCTCAAGATTATATGGTTACGCATTAAGCTTACGTATCCTTGCCATTATAGCCTAAAGCTATTTGACACTTAGTAGGTGAACATAAATTTATATCTATCCATCTGCAGAGAAAGAAAAATAATAAAAAGCAAAACACAAAACTTAAGTATAGTTTCTTATGTATGGCCAGTGCTATTTTTCCAATTAGAGTTAAAGTTTTATCTTGGTATTATGCAATTGCATTTGATACAGGTCTCATTAATATATATTTACGCATACTACGGAGGTACCAACATTCAAATTTGAGCCTCAAGTATGGAATAGAGTATGTTGGAAGGACGCTCACAATTTTTGGCAAAAATTAGTCACTGCTTTTGGCAGTAGATATTTCGTACTAATACCATATATTGGACAACCCACATTGTCTATAAATAAGGTCATAATAGTGTATATAAGTATGGAACAATCCTCACCTTATAAGTCGATTTTGTAGGATTAAGTTACGCCTATAACTCACTTTTCTAAGATGGTATCAAAGCATATAAGAGTCTATCTTAGCAAGTGTTGTTGGGGAGGGCGAAACCTGCTCCTAGTTTGGACTTTGGAGCAATGTCATGCCTATTCATACCTCATTGGCACTAGCATTGTCTAATGTGATAGAAAAAATCTTCCTATCTATTTCCCAATCAAGTAGCAAAGCAAAACCTTTTTGTGCCAAATCATGACCAGTATGTGAAGGTTTCATTTTACAATAGGCAATAATCTTGCTATTCAACCTCCAACTAGCATCAACAAAATGAGCAGTCAAACAAATATACCCTTCTTGAGTTATAGAAGTCCAACAATCAAATGTCAAACAAATTCGACTATGACACTTACAAATTGCAAGTTTCACCCTCTCTGTGTTCATGAAATTTCTTTGAAATATTAGATATAACTGTATTCCTACTTGAAATTCTTACTTCTGGATTTAGATATACAAGCAATTTCGCTAACCCACTTATATTCAACAAAATTATATGGCAGCCCATGTTGAATAATAGCCATTGAAATCATGTCATCTACAACTTTTTGATCAATTTCCTTAGGCCTTAATTTCCCAACATAATCAATTATCGTTTTCCTCACATCATTTTCTTTCAATATTTTTAGCACCACACACTTTGGCAAATGACACAACGTACATTGTTGAAGTCCCTATTTTTGTACCACTAATAACATACTCTGCATTGCATTTAACCTTTTCATTACCATCTTTTATACCAATTCTTGTAAAATAATCCCAAACTTTAGAAGTAGTTATCCAAGATCTCTTACTTTCTCTATCAACATCATTACCCTCTTTTTCAACCTCTTCTAGGATTAGTGGCAAAGATTCATTTAAATCATCATTAACACATTGTTCATCTACAGTTTCAGAATCCATTTTGTAAAATATAATCTAAAATCAATACACAATCAGTTTTAGTTTCAGCGACTAAATAAATTACACCATTTGTACAACTATTAATCACAATCAATTTCAGTTTCAGTTTCAGAAACAAAATAAAATATATCACAATCAGTAAATAAAAGTCCAAGAGATATGTATATTAAAATCAGTACACAATCGGTAAATATCTATTAATCATGTTGTTTGATGTTGATAAAATTATAAACTAATTTAACTAGAATTGAAAACTAATATCAGTAAATAACTAATCAATAAACTATGCAAAGTCGTACCCGTGGGCGTGGAACAGAGGCGGCGGGAGGGGCTGGGAGTGGAACGGGGGCGGTAAGTGGTGCGGGAGGAGCTGCGCGTGGAACGGTGGCGGTCGCACGATAGCGTCGCGAGGTGGCGGTCACGCGTTGGTGGTGCGTGGTGCGTGGTGCGGAAGGGTCTACGCGTGTGGAACGTGGCGGTTGCGCGGTAACGGTGCGCGGTCACGAATCACGATCACGAAGTTAATTAACTTTCCGTCCCACCCTTCCTTGTGTGTGGGCTGGGCTCACTGGGTTCTAAATGTTTTTTTCGTCAGTGGACTGTGGGTTCGTTTTTGTTTTTGTTTTTTTGTTTTTTTGTTTTTAGTTTTTAATGAGTTAGACTGAATTTTTAGCGATATTAAAATATATAACTTTTTTTTAGCTCAATTTGATTCAAACTCATTTTTTTTATTGTTTTTATCTATTTTTTTTACCAATCAATATTTCTTTGTTATATTTTTATTTATTAATATTAATGTATAATTTATTAATATTTTATTTTTAAATTATCAAAATATTCAAAATTATTTTTAAATTATATAAATATTATATATTGTTAAAATTTTAATTTATTAAAATTTAAAAATATTTATTTTTAATAAAATTTAATATTTATATATCAAGTTTTTAAACATATATTAAAATATATTTTATAATTCTACCGATTAATAAATATCATAAATTTGAATATATTGTTCAAGTTGAATAAAAAAATATAAATAAATAAAAAATTGTATATAGATAAATGTTATTTAAGAGGACATGAAACTAGAATAAATTACTTATTAAGAGATTAAAAAATTTATTAATTTTATTTTCTTAATTCAAACCTTGTCATTCATTTTTTTGATTAAATGCATTATTTTTTAAAAATGTATATTATTCTTTGAGATCTAATAATTTTTTTTTAAAATTTTATAAATTCTTGAGATACAAATTTATTAAAATTTGTATCAATTGCAAAATCTTGATTAGAAATTTTTTTCAAAAAATAGTAAAAGTTATTACATTACTACAAAATCTTTTAAAAATTCTTAAAAGTCATTAAATTTCTATAAAGTCTTTTTAAGTCTATAAGAATTTTTTATGATAAAAAAAATATAATAAAATTTCAATTCAATACACCTTCCTTAATATAAAAAGAAAAAAAACTAAAAATATTATTTAATCGGCCTCATTTCTTCTTCTTTTTTTCATTAATTTTTGTAAATGTCTTTTGATCACAACTAGAGTTATCAAATAAATGAATTCTATTGAGTTGGCTCATAACCTTTGCTAAAAAAAAGTGAATTAAATCAGTTTAGTTTATTTTTTGATAGGCCAAAAATGGTTTACTCAACATAATTTAATATGGATTAGTTAGTTATATGGGTTGACTTATTTATAATTAAATTATATATAAGTATAAAATGTTAAAGAAAATATAAAAACAAAATTAATGTGAAATATGTATAGGATTCTGAGTTCAAATTTCAAACCTTGATAATATTTTGTAATTCCTATAAATAAAAAATTGAAAATCACATCATCCATGCATGAATTTATTTCGATGTATCTCACTCTATATAAAATAACGATTTGGAAAGTCATTGATGTCTTCTTCCCTAACATTGTTCAGAAAGTTTCAACAAACATTTATCAATTGCGCATGACTCTCCTCGAACGATGATGATGATAAGGATAATAAAAATATTAGATGAGATGGTAAAAAAAAAAAAAAGTTTGCAAGAGTAATTGTGAATGATTTTTTAAAATTTTAATTTGATATAAACAAAAGTTAGTCCCTATGATTTGGTATATTGAATTTTAGTTCCCACAAAATTATTTTAATTATTTTAATCTCCATAAATTTTTTATTGTCATTTTTTTAGGTTCATCCCTAGAGTATCTAGGGCCGATAACAGTGACTAATTTCCTTGTTACGTTGGAGACACTTAAAAGGGTGGGATAGCTGGCCCCAAAATTTAACGCGACTGCATACACAAGGCAGGATTCGAACCCCTGACCTCACTTAAGCGTGGATATATATGTGAATCAAGATTTTATTGTCATTTTAATCACCGAAACATATACTTATTTAGATTATATATATGTGAATCAATAATATGACACTTCATTTAATAAAACTTTTTTAAGTGTATAGACTAAAGAAACACACAAAATTACAATGACTAAAATAACTCAAATAATTTTATAATAAATATTTTTTTTAAAATTATAGGGATTAAAAGGATATTTAACGCATAATTTAATTAAACACTTTTATACAAGTATAAATGGAAAGAAATGAGATAAAATGAGTTTATTTAAGTTTTTGGTTAAAGCTCATTCAAACAAGTTAAGCTTATGTATGTGGTTTAGGACAATCCTTCTCCAAGGTTGGACTGATTCTTCCGAGATCAGTTTTCACTCATGGATAGTTATATGTGGTTCTTTCTAGAGTAAAATCAAAGATGATATGAAAAATATTAATATTAGATGCATGACTGTATCTAGGAATTTTGGGGTTTTAGGAAAAAATTAAGATAAAAGTTTATATTAATATATTCTAATAAATTTTATGTTATTTTTCTAATTTTTTGAGCTGCAAAATTATTTATTAAAATTTTATAGTAAAGTAATTCTAACATCTCACTCTCAATAAATAATATAGCTAGCCCATTTAATTTATCTTGTAATATAATTGATCTTAAATATGATTTAATCAATTTTAATTTTGAAAAACATCTTTCAGCAATTGCAATAGTTACAAATAATGTTAATAATATTATATAAGTGATGTATGTATTTGGAAAAGAACATGATCTTTTTATATAGTTCAATATTTTTAATGGTGTGTTAATTTCATTTGTTAGAATTTCTTTCAATAACTTTAATTCTGAAAATAAATCAAGACCATTAATACCAGAATGGTCCTCAAAACTCAAAATCTTTTCAAGATTGATACAATATTTTTTCAATTCATCTTCCCCTAAAGTTTTAAACTTATTTAAATAAAATAAAAAATCAAACATGTTTTCATATTCTAAAAATTATTCAAATCGACTCTCAATAGAAGAAATAGATTGATCTAATATATACAAAAAATAATTAATGCGAAAAGAATCTTTAGTAGAATGAGCTATCTTGTTACTATCAATGTCATCAAAATATTTTTTTCCTATGAATCTTACATTTTTCATTAAATTTAGGCTCTATATCCATTTCAATAGTCATTTCTTTGGTGGATTCTAATGCAGATGCAAAATTATTTTCCCTATAATTTTTGAATTAATTTTTCAATTCTTCTTTTTTTTTTCAACTTTTCAAAACCAAATACATACTTTTTATTTGACATATTTTACTGATTGGCTAAAATAAAAATAACAAGAAAAATAATTTTTAAAATTAAAAGAAGATAACAATAAAACAATAACACCTGGAAAGTGAAAAATTATATCTATGCATGAAAATTTCTTTTAAGTTATGGCTATGCACTATTGCAACTGAGTATCCAAAATCGAAATCGTAGTGACAATCACTTTATGTGCACCTACAATGATAAACAATAAAAAAATAAGATCTAAAAATTATAATTTGTAAATAAAAGTACTCTACTAAATTATTTTTTCTCATGCATTAATAATCAATTTACACTATTTTAGAAGGGTTTGATCCTGACTTTTCAAAGACATGTAGGAAATCATGGAAAGAAGAAATTTTGTCACAATGACAAACTTCAATTTCAATAAAGAAGAATATGTGGTATTGATTCCCAGGATGACCCATGACAAATTTACAATGCAATATCATGCAAGAAGTGCACTACAATGGATTGTTAATGGTGATAACTAAGAAAATACGTTGATGTTATTGAACCAACACCCATAATTATACTAACTTGGCAATTTTAAGGATCTTACAAAGTAGGAATCAACCCATAAAAAAGGCAGAGTAGGACCGTATTGCTCCCAATCAAGCTCTCAAATTAGACGCGAAAAAGACTTGAGAATGAAAATGGAGAGAGAATGAGAAAGAGATACACTAGAGAGGAAACAAAGAGGTTAAAAATCTGTCATATGTAAAAGACATAAGTAAGTAGTAGTGACTATTGAGTGTTGAGTAATTTTTATTTACAAAAACTAATAAATGGATTGTGATCTTTTAAGTAATTTTAATAATAAGAAAATAAGAGATATAAAAAATATAAGATATGTGTCTTATAAAATATAGGACCTTATGTCAAATATTATTAATTTTTTAAAAATTAATTTATATCAATAATATTACTATTAAAAAAATTTGGAGGCCTTATAAATTTGAGGGCTCTAAACATTGACCTTAATTGTCTTATTAAATATCCGGCCTTGATTAGATGATGAGGAAGAAGTCCATAGTTTTAAAAAAAAATGTGGTATACAAAGAAGTATTTGAAAATTTATATCACATCTAAAAAAAAGGTTGTTAATTATTTTCCAACATGATAATTTTAGACCAATAATGATGAATTCATATATACTTCATAATGAAAAATGAATAAAACTTACAAACTTAAATTATAATGATACATGCGTTACCTAATTTAATGCTGGGACATTAAAGCTGTGTGATAGAATGATATGATACTGCAAGATGGATTGTTCCTACAAAGAAATTGTGGAAAACATGGTTATGATTAGTAACTATTTATTCATATTTTTTAACAAATACTTTAAAATTTATACTTTTGTGAAAGTTATAAATGTATATACTTCTAATAGATACCTTTTATGTATTTATGCAAGGATATGAGAGTTATCTTAAAACAAGTTCACAGGGACTTTCAGTATTTTGGATTCTGCAAAACAAACATTCCCACTTCCGATAAATTTTTCTGGTCAAACTTCTTTTCTTCTGATGATAATATGGAATGATTTTGCCAAATTGAAATTAGGAGCACTTCCATTTGAGTTGTTGAATACTGTATCATCTTTAGATGCAGTACTTATGTAGTCTCTGTGATGCAACTTTTCTTAAACTCACAATTTTGAACACTGAACAACTAATTTGACTTTTATATTGCTACTTTTATGTCACAATGTTATTAGCGATCTTACTTTGGTAACAGATAGTAGTTGAAGGTTATCAAGTGTTTTGGAAACTGATATAACAACAGTTTCTAGTTTTTAATTTACTAGATTGATTTGGCTTATCATTTTAACACACAATACCAAAATAAAAATAGGAATTTTAAGGAAGAAAATTATTCTAGACTTGGAATAGTCAAGA